CACAGGGGTACGGGCTGGGTGGGAGGGGGCTGCTGGGTCTCGCTGACCTCCCCGTGCCTCCGGCCCCTCCTGCACGCAGCAAATCCATCACCGACAGTTTATTTAGGGGCCGGGGCGAGAGCTGGCGTCAATGCCGGCAGGTCCCAGCGCTGCCTCCTGCAGACTGAGACCCTCTCTGGTGGCTCATCACGGGGCCGGGGTGTTTTCCTCTGTGTTACTGGCTCAGCAAACCCCTCTATGTTTGAACAGGGTGCTGCGGGGAGCAAGCTTGCCTGTGCTTTCCGTGGTGCCCATGAAGGGGGATGCAGGTCTGAGCCCCCGGCACTCATGAAGTCGCACCAGGGTGCTCCTAGCCAAGAGCCCCCCAGCTTTCACAGTGCTTCCCAAGGGTGTTTTGGGGTCCCACCATGCCAAAAATGGGGTTTCTGCACTGCTGAAAGATCTGGTTACGTTCCAGAGCGCCTGGGCCCTCTTCCCTCAAGGAGGTCACCCACCTCCTGTTGTTTCACATCCCCCATCAAACAGTCACTCCCCAGGACAGCTGCAAAGTCCCCGGGATGCTCAGGAATCACTGAGATGGGGCAGGGGGAGATGCGTGGCAAGGCAGAGGCTCCCAGCCTGGCTGGTGGCAAAAAGCCAGGGCAACCGGTTGGCGTTAAAAACCAGCAGGTTTGGCACTGGGGGTGTTTGGGGAGTTAATTGCTGTGGGGATCTGGAGCCCTTAGGAGCGTGTGCCCAAGGTTTCTCCAGCAGCTGTGACCCCTTCAGCAGATGCTTTTTCTCTTCTCCTGCAGCCAGGAGCCTGCCCTGACGGCGTGGGGCCAGGAGCTGGCATGGCTGCAGCGGAACCCGGTGCTGGGCACGGGGTAGTGCCAGGCAGGGAGACATAAGCAAGGCATTTCTGCTGCTAATCCGGGCTGCTCTCTCTCCCCCATCCCTGCCTCCCTCCCTCCCAGTTGCAGGAATACTACAAGAAGCAACAGGAGCAGCTTCACCTGCAGCTATTGACACAGCAGCAAGCCGGAAAGCAGCAACCCAAAGAGGTGAGCTCACACGGATGGGTTCTGGGCCATCAGATCTGGCTCTGAATGAAAGGGGGACTGGCAAAAAACAAGGTGTGTGTGAGTCCCATCACCCAGGGCAGCTGGCTGGGAGCCAGCAGCGATGGGACACGGGGGCATCCTGCTCCTGAGGGTGCTGGGGCAGCTGGTCCGGGTGCTGGGAGCTCCTCCTCCCTATCTGCGATCTGGCACGTGCGGTGAGCTGCATCGTTCTCAGCCCCACGTCCTTGTCGGCGCATCTAGAAACTATGGGGCGGGTGTGGGGAGTGGTGAAGTCGGCAGGTGTGGGTGGGCAGCGCTGGCAGAGCCCCCGGACCCTCCCCAGCAGGAGGGGCAGGTCGCTGCCCCCCTGGCACGGAGCGAGGGGTCACCAGATCCTCCAGATGTTGGGGGGCAGAGGAGGCTGAGCTCAGGCAGCCCAGCCCTGATGGAGCTGGCACGGCAGCACCCTGGCACGTAGACAGGCAGGGCTGGTTGGGTGGAAACCCAAACCGGGGCTTTTCCTGCCAGGAAAGGTGGTTCCGCAAAACCCAGGCGCTGCGTGAAACAGCAGCGATGCCGGCAAAGGGCTTTTCTGTCGGGCAGGGGATGCTGTCAGCCCCTCGCCGCCTGGTCGGCAGCGGTGGGCCCTTTGCTGGGGAGGCGGTGGCAGGGTGGAGAAGCGTTTGGGCGGGTGTGATTGCATCAATCCTGTGTAACTCCCGTTACACACCAGGTTTTGCCGACCTTTCCCGTGGGGATGCTCTCCGAGGGTTGCGGCTGCCTTAGCGAGGCTCGGTTTTGGGGATGTGCTAGTCACACGGAGGCTGGGGGCTGACCTCACCAATAGTGGGCAGACAGCACCGCTCCCTTTTCCTTACATATTTTTGCCCCTCTCTCTTTCCATATGGGTACACAAGGTCTTGTACTGGGGGTGTTTAGCATTGCACGTGCTGCTGCATGTCTGGCATCACTGCTCTCTGTCGAGCATCCTTCCTTGAGCTCCCAGCGCAGAGGGATGTGGAGCTGAGCCACTTGGTCCCTGTCCCCAGCCGAGCATCGGTAGCACGGAAAGGGATGGATTGCTGGGGCCGTTCATTGCAGTCACCCTTCCTGAACTCCCAGCACCCTGATTTACACTCATCACCTCTCAGCACTTCAAAATTCAGCTTTCTTTTGAGGTTGAAAGCGTTCAAGCCCTGACGGCGCATCGGGGTGGCCGCAGGGGCAGCTGGAGCAGCTCGGGGGCGGGCCGGCGTCCACTTGAGCCTTCAATAGACTTTGACCCAGGCTTTCATTGCGGGATGTTGGCGTATTTACGCAGCGTGCGCGGGGTCAGGCTTTATCGGAGCCATCTCCAGGAGCTGGAGTAGCTGCTCGTGCTCCGGGGACGGGGGAGGCATAAATCTGAGCTTTCTCAAGGACTTTCCTCTTGGCTGTGGCGATGTTATATTGCAGCGACGAGCGGGGATATAATTAAGCTCTAACAAAGGGCTTGCTTAGCGGGCTCCTGGTTTAAAAAGTGCATGTTAACTTTTAATTAAACGGTACTGAGGAGATGAGAAATTATCCGCTAAGGTAGTCTGCCCAGCGGGAGGGAAGAGGCGTTAGATGCTGCTAAAGGGATGCATGTCCAGCTTCCGGCAGCGTCACCATCCCATGGCCCCAAAAACCAGCGAGGGGGTCCCCGCCAGTAGATGCCAGTGTTTCCTCTCCCCAAAACCCCAGCCGGGCTTTGTGGGGTTGGCTTAACCCCGTGAATTTGGGCAGCTGCTATTAATAAAGCCTGCGTTGTGCCTGCCGGGAATGGCGATGCTGTTGCTTCCCCCCGACGGCGTGGGGAATAGCTGGCGTGTCTGGGATGCCGCCGCAGAGCCCGCTCTGGGCCGGCGTCGGCTCCGTCATGGAAATCCACGGCAGTATTTAATTACGGCCCCGCTGCAAGGTTTGTAAACCCAGCGCCTTCTGCTTCCCCTCGGCTGGATTTCAAGGGCTCGCCTCGGTGTCATTGTAAATCGGTGGCTCGTCTGCGGGCACAGAGGGGGGATCAGCAGGTGGGAAAGGCGCCGGGAGCAGGGAGCAGCGTCTTGAGGAGGAGCGGCTCAGATCTCCCCAGGAGGAGCAGCACGGCTGGAGGTCCCCCAGCGGGTTCAGGGAAGGGGAAGAGCAGGAAAAGAGGGAGCACGGAGGATGGAAGCATGTCAGAAGCGCCCGTCAGCAGCATCCTGTCCCAGAGGATGTGGGGGGGCTTTGTGTCCGTGGTCTGCGAGGAGCTGCGCCGCGATGGGGGTGAGGAAGGGGATGAGCAGGGTGGCTGATCCATGTATCCCACTGGGATGGGGCTGAGCTGCAGCACATCCCAGCCCATCCTGGAGACTTTTCCTGCATTAGGCTGTAAGGGTGAACCCCCCGCAGCATCCTGGGCACAGGGAAGAGCGAGGAGTGTGGCGGGAGTAAGGAGCTGGGGCACAAGGCTGGGATGGCTCTGGACATGGGATGGCTCTGGACAGCCCCTCGCCCCCGTGGACAGAGGGGGGGAC